CCCCCCCCCCCCCCCCCCCCCCCCCCCCCCCCCCCCCCCCCCCCCCCCCCCCCCCCCCCCCCCCCCCCCCCCCCCCCCCCCCCCCCCCCCCCCCCCCCCCAGCAGAAATTTGAAGGTGGCTGGACCTGTGTAGTCTACTGATGTTCCCTGTTCATAAATGATTTTATTTTTTCTTTCATCTAGGAACACAAAATGAATGTGATACCATGATCAAAAATATACCAAATATTGTTCGACCACAAACAACATCTTCTCTTCAATTATCAGGTACGGACACTAGAATTCGTTCTTAAATCATTCTTTGAGAGAAAAAAGTTTAATTCTAATACTTTTATTGTTTCAGCTTTAAATGATGAAGCAATAACAAGTGGTTCTGTATCGAATGCACAAGATGTTGTTGTTTCCTTAACGGAGCAAACAAGAGTAAATGAAAAAACACGTGATACATCATATCAAGAAGAACAAGAACGACAGTCATCATCATTATTGTGTTTACCACCAGCATTAACAGTGAGAAGTAATGTAAACAGTGAAACAAGTCCACATGCATCGACAACAACAGAATCTGTACAACGACAAACAACATCAATTATTACTTCAGCAGAAAGTAACAAAAAAATGTCACTGTTTTCAATAAAATGTCACTATTTTCAATAAAAAAAATAAAAACATCATTTATTATAGTTAATTATACTTTAAATACTTGTTTGTTCTTTTTTTATTAGGTGATGCACTATTCTGTGAACCTACGAATAAAAACAATATGATTATTATCAAAGGCTTACCTGGTACAATTAATACTGACAACTTATATGATGTTCTTTCCAAAACTGGTCATATACGAGTATGTCAGTTTCTTTATTGCGCCATATTTACAGAGCCGAGAATTATTCTGAGAAATCTGCAAGAAGCGAAGAGTTGAGGAAATCAACTGGACTATTTAATAAATTCCTTGTGATCGTTCGTTTAAACTATTTTTTATTATTCAAAAAACATAGTCAAAACTCAAACGAGTCGATGTAACAATTGTTAAGTAGCTTAGGACATGTCGTTATTTGTTCAAAGCTTTGATTTATGTTTTAATAGCATACTGATGATACAAAAGCAATGCTTACAGTTTCTAATGGTCGTGCATTGTGTGTGTATGAAGAACGAAATGCAGCTGTAAAAGCTTGTCAAATTTTTAATGGTAAGTGGACCTCATACAATTGTCATGTTAAGTTCATCTAGATTTATTTCTAATTATTATTTTTATCTCTAGGTAAAAATGAATCAAAATTAGGTTGCGTTATGAAAGTGCAATTGGTTGTTAATGGAATTGATTTGATAGGGCAAATGATGAATAATGACGACAATGATGTGATGGGTGAAGATCGTGAAAAAAATAATGAACGTGATCAAAATGAACAGCATGATGTCAATGATAAAGAAAATAACAATAACGGTAAAAGTTCATTGACTCCTAACAATAGATATTTTCTCATACAATCGAACTGCACGATCGAAAAAAACAAACGGTCAAGCCACTATGCATGTCAATTCATCGTCCATTTCTCTTCTCTTCTGATGAATCAAAATTAGTTGTGTCTTGTAAACAGTTGTGAAGCATATGTTTGAAATACTTTCATCGTCTTGTTTAGTTATGCCACAACCGAAGCTTACATATGTCTGGAGGAAATTTTTATATTGTTTTAAGACCATTTGTCATCTCTGAGCTTTGTTGTATGTTCACCATTTTGTCTTACATTTTGTTTTACTTTGCTGTTTAGATGACGTTCATATGTTGGATGTATTGGTCGATGATAGTGCTAATACAACAAGTCATGGTAGCAGCATTACTGTTGACAGTCAGTCTCTAAATTTTGCTTCTTTGTCTACATTAAAAACAGTAAATGTAAAATCTTGGTTTTAATTTATAGAAATATGTTGTCAAAATCCATCCTGTATTGGAGAAAAACGAGAATTAAGAGCGCAGTTGGCAGCCAAGGATGAAAAAATTAGACGTATTCAAATGACATATACACGTGAGTTCTAATTCTGGCGATGATTTTTACAGATTAATGCCTCATTGTGAAAATAATTCTATCGATGTACTTCACTCGTATTTTAGCACCACCATCACAATCACTTATTAAATATTTTGAAACTATTATTACAAAAGCAAAATAAATAAGAATTTAACTGAATCATCAACAACATCAAAAGTAAGTATGACATATTTCTACTTAAACAATGAAGTTGCCAAACAATAGCAGCTTGTTCACGCCTGTTGTTGTTGTTGGTAATACATCTACTGTTCGTCTACCGTTAGTGGAAGAATTTGTTGTTGGTGGTAATAGATTTGTTGTTAATGATGCTAGTAGCTATTCAATTGACTAGAAAATTTATTTCTTGAATGCTTTTCTTTTGTGTTTTAGATGTTTCTAAAAATTCCACTTAGTCCACAAGAATTAGCACAATCAAGTGGATCAACATGGGCAGATACAACTCGTAATTTAATTAGAAAAGTATTTCGTGATATTGATTTAGCAAATGTGAATTATATTAAATTAAACGGAAAACATTCAGATGTATTGAAAGAAATTTATGGTAATTGCATCGTTTTTTTCTATCAACTTGTACATATAACAAAACGATGAAAGGAATATACCTAAAATGGTGTATTCTGGAAAAGAGACTCAAGCTAGTTCATAGAAAAATTTATTAAAAATAAATTAAAATAAAAAAAAATTATTTAAATTCTTATACTATATGTGCGTGTTATTATGATCATCGCTATACAGCAACTGTTCTTAATGCATAAACTGCTTATTTTCATTCCATTCAATCAGCAGAAAGAGTGTGATCCACGTGACGCAAGGCAGCAAAATCCGCTAGCATAAGAGCCAAAAAAATACATATTTTCTGATCTAAGCATCGTGTAAACCTCCTCCTTTTCTTTTTTGAAAACAAAAATACATTTGATTATCAATAGCATAAGATCATATTATAACAAACGCTGTTCCTTTTCTCTACTGAACAAGCATTTGGTTTGAGTCATTCTGTAGCATACGATTTAACATGCCCTGTAATACCTTGTGACTTAAACATTCCCATACAGCACTCTAGAATTTTTAACTAAAAGATCGACTATTCTGTATGTGTCTGAGGACAGAAATAATGTTGCTGTTTTGATAGTAATGATAACATAACAAAAAAGAAAATCATATGTATAGAAAAGTAAGGGATCATACATAGAATACATAGTAACGATGATGATCAAGAGATAACACATAAAATATAAAGTAATAATAATGTGGAAAAAATTACTGGCATAATAAAATAGATATGTATCACATACATATACTATGGACGTAGCTTAGGGAGTAAATAGTTACACTGCTTGACAGTTGTGATATTATTAGTAACATATGAAGAAGTAATGATATGATTAGTTGTTTTTGATGTCGTTATTTTATTCGTTTTTTATTGTCAGATGATAACATTGAGACTGGACAAGATACAATACAAGGCTTCTATAATGGTTACCCTTTGTAATGGACCGTGTTCACAAAATGAAATATCAATAGCAAGAAAGGAGTTGATAGACCGTAATTAGGAAATTGGAACTATCACAGGCCTAGACGTGATATAGATACGAACAAAATGAAAATGAAGAAAAAACAGAACAAATTTTGTTTTTGTTCTTTTACTTTCATTTCTGTATTGTTATGATTAGTGTGTGGTTCGATCATATACACAGTCGTAATCCTTTTTTTAAGATTACGAGGACACTAGAACATCAATGGTCGTTAAGCTTCGAAATGACCGTCCTGGTATTTGGCTAATGGACTGTATGAGATACTATCATTTGAATAAATAAAACCATTACAGCGGTTTATGCACTTTATCTTCATAAGTTCCAAATTCTATTAAGGCTCTATTTTACATTTATTAGCAAATTGCATTCATTTGATGACCATACGTGAGTAGATGAAAGTTTTCAAATAAGACTTAATGGTTGTCATTTATCATTTTTTTCACTCATAATGCTACTATTAAACTAACTGAAGTTGTTTCATACTTTCCGACTGTGGAAATCTGCAGAGGACTTGTACACTGGGGAGAGAACTGGATAACATGTGACATTACTGTTAAATTTGTTTGTTTTTTATTTTGCATATGTAGGTTTTGTTCAAGAAAATCATAATATTGTTCTAAAACGTTCAGAATTCAATAAACAAATAGGAACATTATGTCGTAATAGTAGAAAATCCATTGAATCCCGTAAAAATTCAAAGAAAAAAACAACAACTAATGATGTTAATAAAGAAAATGTAAGTTGACTAAGAGAAGATCGAGAAAAGAAGATACTTGAGCTTACTTATTCTAGTTTGATAGAAAAAAAACATTCATGGTCTAGTGTTTGATTATTTGGCCTTTTTTCTATTACAGAATCAACCAAGTCAAAATCAAACATCACGATTGTTACTAGAAAATGATGATAATGTTTGGTAGTGGCATATGAAAAAAAGTTAGAGAAAATTTTATTAAAGTTTTATTTGTTATATCGTGTTTATCGTACTTTTGTTTATATCACATAGTGGATCTTTTGATATTTGTGTTTTGAATTTGTTTTCTTCGTTGTCTTTCTTTTTATGTGATGTGTTTTGTTAGAAGTTAGTACAAATAGTTTGTTCGTTTCATTTAATCAAATAGTTCTAACTGTTGTTCATGTGAATTAATCGAATGTTCGACGAAACTTTTCTTTCTATAAACTAGTTCAGTACATAGTGATATAAATGGTTTTGATTAACTCTTGTTGGTCAAGTTTTTTTATAACAACAGTACAATAACGATGAAGCTTTTTTAAATGGTTTTATTTGTTTGTTTCTTATGTTCGTGTGATATGTACATAATATATAGGTTTTTTTTAATATTTTTATACTAGCATCAGGGTTATCAGATCTAAACCATGAAAATCAGAAAATAAAAGTTCGAAATCAGAAAAAGCTCAAAAAAAGGAAATTCAAAATTAGAAAAACAGAAAACCTCAGAAGAAAAAAGAGCAGAAACGAGGCAGAAAAAGTTCTAAAAATCAGAAATTTTCTGCCAAAATCAGACGATCTGGTATCCCTGACTAGAATATTAAATGAATAGTGCATTAATGTTGTTCACTATATCGCATAAAGAACTATATTTTTAAAGAATGAAAATAAAGGAAAAATTTAAGTATTATAGTTCCTTATGGCAAGACGAATAAAAACAATATAGTAATAATGTTTCATAATTCTCATTTACGGCTTAAATAGTTTCTATCTATTTTTATTTTTTGTGCTATATCTTAACGTCGATGAATCGATTAATTGAATAGCTATCGTTATCATGAAATAACTATTGTAGAAAAAAAAAAGACCATCAGTTGAAAAGAAGAGTCTCGTTTGTTTTTTGAATATCTAAAGAACGGAAAGAGATCGAGAGTCGGACTTTTCACCATTTGGTAGAGGCGACTCTTCTCTCTATCTGTTTTCGTTCTTGAAATATTCAAAAAACAACCCAGACTCTTCTTTTCAACCGATAGCCTTCTTTTTGTTCGACAATAATTGTTGCAGTCAATTTAAGAAACTGGTATCCACCCAATTAGTTGACTTCATTTATCTTTACTTGTAACTATTCTATTTAAAAAATAGTACGATTTGAGAGGCAAAGTAGAAGACGAGTTGTCTTTTATTCTGGAGAAGATATTTCAGCAAGACTGAGCCTACCCTACTTTGAAACTGTTCGTCCATCCAGCTGATTTCAATATGTTCGCGAAAGTTTGACCGGAACTTACGTAATTTATTCAATGTATTTCATATGAATGATTCTTGTTTGAATATTTTACAAGACTATTGTTGTTTTAGCTAGACAAAAAAATATATAGTTTCTTTTTCAGCTTTTTCATGTTACAAAATTGGCATAAAATCTATTAAATTCATTTATTTCGACATAACAATCGAATATTTACGTTTTATTCAAATACAAAACTAGATTTTTTTTCTCTGCAGTGGTAAGAATAACGAACACATTTGCTTTGAAATCGTTTATTTGACTAGACAAGTGACTATTATGACGATTGATTGGTCTATTGTAATTAGACTTTCAACAAAAAATAAAAATAAATACACGATTTTACGTGTTAATTTTACAAACAAAAAATGATGATAACTAAAAACAATTATTTTTGTTAGCTTTATCCAATTATTTAACAAACGAAAAAAGGAGAAGAGATGCCTTTAATCGGGTTGTTGAACTTGTCTTGAATTCATGTCCATTTACTCATTTTTGCTTATTTACACTAAGGATAGTCTATATTTTTTTATGTTTTTATTTTGATGATTTTTTCTATTTCTACGAATGTACATTAGAATTATGCCAGCTAGAGATAGACGTGAGCGGGCTCGAATTCGCAAACTACGTCGGAGTAGAATAACATTAATAGATTTGAAATATGGAAGTGGTGAGTTAACATTCTTTTAGTGTCATAACTGCTAGTATGTGATTTGAAGTTCTTCATTATTTTTTAATGTTTTTGTTTAGCATCTACAACAACAACAATTTCGAATACTCAAATTGGTGCAAATTATGGTAATGACGACAATATGGCAATGGATGTTGATTTTGACAATGATTCTGAATATGAAGATAAGAGGTCGATCTCTTTCATTATTGTTTGTCTTTTTAGTTTAGTATTATCAAATTATTTTTTCTGTTTTAGATTGTGACATCGTTATGGATATCAAATATGCACTTGAAGATAATACAATTGATCGCGATGCTGATGTTTATTTTTCTAATGAAACAACAAATGGTACTAGCATATTAGGATCATTTTTGTCGATTCTATAGTTTCTCTTATGAAAAGTGTACTTTTTTCTTATCTATATGTTTTATGAAACTTTGACATAAATAAATTAATGAACACCTTTGTGTAATGTAAACACGTTTCTCCGTACTATTTAAGGTTATTTAGAATAAGTTTTGAGTAGGCATTTGAAAACGAGATAACAAACTGGAATTGACATAAAACTTTAGTATAAGATGGCAGATAAGTTAAAAATGAAAATTTGGAACCAAATAGAAAGAATAAAATGTAATAGATTCACTGATATTTTGATCTTTGTGTATTTAGACATTCCAAGACGATCAATACCGACTAAAAAAGATTGGTCGTCTTTGCTTATGATATATAAAGCACGTCGTCGACAAAATAATGTTGATATGAACCATTTATGCAAATTATTACATTTAAGTCATCCAAGTTCGAATGAAAATATTCCTGTTAGTTGGAATTCGATAAAGTAAGTAAAAAAGAAGTTATTGTATATTAGTTTTTGTTTGATAGCGTAATTGAAGCCTGAAGATTCATTCATTCCCTTCCCATCAAACAAATAAATTTTTCCTCAGTTCGCCGTATGGATTCAATTTTGATAATGGAAAGAACTACTTAGGGCAATCCAAAAGTAGTGAGGGAGGTACTTTATTTTCTTAAGGAGCGCTTCAAAAACATTTCTCTTTTAATGAACAGATAGAGCGTCTTTCGCTGTATTTTTCTATGCTATTTGGTCAATATTCAACTAATATTATAATAATAAAATTTCGATATGATTTCCGAAGTGTTTTGATTCAATTTTCTAACCGTGGAAAAATTTTTGTTCATGAAAAAAAGCAAAAACAAAAAAGTTGATAGAAAATCGTAGTAGAGGTTCGTCTAAAATACGTACTATCCCCAAATAATTAAATTTAAACATCTGTCTTTTGCAGTTTGTAGATCTTCGATTAGCGGTTTGAATGTTAGCCTGATTATTGAAAATTTACTGTAAACAACTTACAGGATAGGTTTGTCCTTTAAAAGGTCAACTAAAAACCTTGCAAAAACC